ATCATTTTTGAAACAGTTTGGTTGTGGTAGTTTTATTGGATTAGGTATTTATTTATTAGAGTATGTTTGGTATTTGTCTAATTTAAGCTGGACCTGGGTTCCTATTGTATTATGGTGGGAGAGCAGGGTGTTCTTTTGTTCTTAACTCAGAGGGCAAGCTATTCCTAGATCTCTGATTGGTCAGTTTTATGTTGTATGATTTCTTCTCTACTAACATCAGCACATTTTAGTCAGTTTACCACATACAGCCGCACGAGAAGCATCTAACATATGACGTACGTGATATTTTTGACAGACGTCTGATTTCTTCTCTTTGGTCTACAACTTCACTCTGTCTAAGATGGACATGCTGTTTCACTAAGGTGGACAATATAATATCACCTGAGTATCATATATTTGGGCGAAAACAAAACAAACTATATAATGTTTGAAAAATAAAGTAGTGGCACAAGTCACAACTCACACCCCAGCAGGCTTCGGTCTTCATTGAACAGAACCACCCCTTAACCTGCTACACACACATACACACACACACACTCGAACGAACGAAGAAACGAACGATCGCGTGAGAGCGAGAGAGCGTGTAACCGAACAGTGACAGCATATATAGTATTCCAAGAAATTATCGAGAAAACGTTTGCTTCCTTATACACATTACATAATTTAAGAATAGGTGTTACATTTTGTATTAAGATACTCAATATAGGTGGTAACTCCTGTAGGCTTAAGAATAAATCTTGCTACATCAAGAGTTATCTCCCCTGGTGTAACAGACGACTTCCTTTGTTGACAGGGCAGATTTGACAGCAGAAGAGAATAGAAAGCTGGATCGAAATGATTTTGAAAGAGGTGTGACTAACGCAAAAGATTAAACTGGTAGACATGACATTCCTCTGTCTACAGTATACAGAACTTTGAAGAATATTCAGTCAGGAGTCGGGATGGAGCACAAGACGGGGGCAGGGAGGCCAAGGAAGTTCCTCTGTCTACAGTATGCAGAACTTTGAAGAATATTCAGTCAGGAGTCGGGATGGAGCACAAGACAGGGGCAGGGAGGCCAAGGAAGTTCCTCTGTCTACAGTATACAGAACTTTGAAGAATATTCAGTCAGGAGTCGGGATGGAGCACAAGACTTTGAAAGAATATTCAGTCCGAGTCGGGATGGAGGCAGGGAGGCCAAGGAAGTTCCTCTGTCTACAGTATACAGAACTTTGAAGAATATTCAGTCAGGAGTCGGGATGGAGCACAAGACAGGGGCAGGGAGGCCAAGGAAGTTCCTCTGTCTACAGTATACAGAACTTTGAAGAATATTCAGTCAGGAGTCGGATGGAGGATCCAAGGAAGGCACAAGAACAGGGAGCAGGGAGACCAAGGAAGTTCCTCTGTCTACAGTATACAGAACTTTGAAGAATATTCAGTCAGGAGTCGGGATGGAGCACAAGACAGGGGCAAGGAGGCCAAGGAAGTTCCTCTGTCTACAGTATACAGAACTTTGAAGAATATTCAGTCCAGGAGTCGGGATGGAGCACAAGACAGGGGCAGGGAGACCAAGGAAGTTCCTCTGTCTACAGTATACAGAACTTTGAAGAATATTCAGTCAGGAGTCGGGATGGAGCACAAGACAGGGGCAGGGAGGCCAAGGAAGTTCAGTACTACGGCGACTTGGTCAGATTGTGAGTAGGAGGAAACTGAAAAGAGTTGAGAATATCAGAAATGAGATCATTAATAGAAGAAGTCCTAACGTGTGTAATGAAACACTCTGGCAAGAATTACAAAGGCTTAACTGGGTGAAAAAGCGCGGAATTCCCTCACCATTGATGGCAAATGTACAAAAAGATACACGTTAAAATTCATGTAGGGCTCACGAAAATGAAGATTGGGATAAGGTTTTCTTTTCTGATGAAACTCCTATCTTGCATTTTCTGACTCACTGACTGACTGAGTTTGGTTTTACGCCGCTTTTAGCAATATTCCAGCAACATCACGGCAGGGGACACCAGAAATGGGCTTCACACATTGTACCCATGTAGGGATTCGAACCCTGGTCTTCAGTGTGACGAGCCAACGCTTTAACCACTAGGCTACCCCGATGCCCCGGCATTTTCTGAACTGTGTGAAAATGTGGTGAATGTTGTACACAGAGGGTTGAATAAATTTTGGTAGGTCATTTTCTTTTTATGACGTAACATAGGTGTGACCTTTATGTGACCTAATCGAATGTTGAACCCCACTCTCCTTTGGGAGTCCCCTTTTCAACCCAGGTGTGTGTGACCTTCAGGTTGACCTTAGTGGTCTGTGATTATTATTCAATTATTTTATGAGTTTGCCGTCTCGAGTGTTCACACAGCAAAATCCAACGTAGAATTAATATCACACAATAAGGGGGAATTTAGCTGCAATTCATTAGGTCAAAATATCAGTGTGCATTTTGTTAAATCTCTAGCCAGTTTAAAATACTCTGTCACAGAAGGAACAACTCCGATGTTCTGAGTATGTATGCCACATATCTCTGAACAATAAACGGTTGTACCTGTTAAAATTCATATGGGCCCGTATATGATTATTGCGTGAATGTGAGTTCTACTTCTAACAGCAGAATCACTTGCTCACTGAGCCGGGCCGTAACTGAAGAGAAATGTGACAGCTGTGATTGGATGAAATAGTGTAAGGTGTTATGTTTGTTACCTCCATTCAGTCATTAAAACTGACCACCATTTTAAGTATTTAATGCTGTCATTTGTATCACTTATGTTTATGCGTGTACAGATATGTAGTGTCACAAATGGTCAGCTTCTGTTGTTTAAAGGTCAGACTGTAATCATGCGTACATGGAATTTCTGTCGATAATTTTCAGCGTGATGGCACACAGCCCACAATGAATGTATGCTGACAAGTGGTCAGTTTCTGTTGTTTACAGGACTGTAATCATGTGTACATGGAATTCCTGTCTATAATTTTCAGCGTGATGGCACACAGCCTACAATGAATGTATGCTGACAAGTGGTCAGCTTCCGTCATGTCGGGAGAGAAGCGTCTGACCGGAATTAAAGAGAGGAAATAGTAAGCAGTTGAGGACTGATGGTCACTGAATATCCCAAGTAGGGTGTCAAGTGGTTGTACAGTGATGTCATATATATTACTGGATAAGAAAACAAACCTGTTCTCTTGTAAAGCTTTCCAGTGCTTTTGCTTAAAATTTTAAAACTTTACTCTCAAATTGCAAACATCAAAAAAAACATCCGTGAATACTAAACATGACACTTATTTGACATCATGTGACACATAGGTTACTCATCATGCCGTTAGACGCTCTTATTCCACAGACCGTATACTGGTGTAAGCTTCTTGTGACTGTATTGTGTGGGGTATGGAGAGGTTAGAACTCCTGGTGTTAAGCATCGTATTGTAGGTTAAATGCACTGAGTGACATAGGAAGGATTATTTATCAGTTGTCTAATGTCAATCTTCCAGCAATGCATTAAGTGAGTGAGTGAGTTTAGTTTTATCTTGCACTCAGGAATATCCCAGCTATATGGTCTATAAATAATCAAGTCTGGACCAGATAATCCAGTGATCAACAGCATGAGCATCGATCTACTCAACTTGGACCCAACTGCATATGACACAGATAAGTAAGAAATCTTGCATACGTCTCTTTAAATGTGCTCCAGATTAATTTCTTCAGTTTGGCTTGTATCATGTCTTCGTTTAAACCTCTTTCCATGTACAGTTGTCGTTTCTCATCAAAAAAGTCTTTATTCAGCTCACGTCTACGTGAATACATTTGCCTTATACCTTGCTCTTCGAGATCAGCCATCTTATTTTTCCTGTTGTGTGTGACATCACTGAATGATTCATCATCATCATCATCATTGTCCATTTCAGGACATTGTTTATTGCTAAACACTTGACCACAATAGTCACAGTCCACCAGAGGACGTGGTCTCTTCACAGCAGAGAAGTTGTTGTCGTCCTCCCACTTCCTTTTCACTTGGGGTATTCCAGGAGGACCCACTGAAGACCTTTCAGGAAACCAGTTTCTTCTGTGTTTTTGCAAATCCTGCACATCTTGAAACATGAGTCCACAGTCATCACAAGATGGCATTGTTGGGAGGTTTTCTTAACAGGTCTGCTAACTCTGAACGTCTAACTCGGACTGAATTGTCCTAGCTTGGAGGCCTCCTTTTAAACTAAAGCATTGGGACAATGTTCGCAATTGTGAGATGGATGTCAAATAGTCAGTACTGTTTCACCTTTTATAGCATAAGCTGTACTGTGCTTCGACTGATCATAATCTTGCTCATTGAGCCCACATTCAAATGCATATTGACCTTCATTCCGGTCATCTTTAGTGCTAAAACACGCGCGGAGGTCTTCTTCATCACATATTTCGGGGCAAAATCGATTGTTCCACAGTATATCCAGAAAACATTGAAAACAAATATAATCATGTGTCACATAAATATGCCATTCGTTTGTATTTCTGTTTTAATCAGCAGATATCTCTAGCCTGACGAGTAAAAAATAAAACATACATACGAAAAGAATAAATAAGGTCTTGTTCTGTTTTGTTTAATACTAGTCATGTCCATTTTCTATCTTTACACACCTGTTATAGTGCAATATTTCGCTAATATTTCACACACACAAAATATAATAACTATGACATGAAATTTATATGAATTCACAAAAGTACCTATGTTGTGATTTTCCATACACAAACGAGAGTAACTCACTCAGGTTGTAAAATACATGCCGCCAGACATGGACATACTGTAGACAATAGATAACGGTTTACACTGCAGTTACCGGCTGCATGTCACTTCCTGATTGACACGCTGACCACGTTATGATAATCCCACAAGCAAGTCGGCGGTCAATCTGAAATGCTTCTGACTAAATGAAACGGCAGCCTTGTGTTTTTATTACCACCATCCGGTCATAGACAGATATAGGTTAGGCAATTTATGAGACTATTGTATCATCCAGGAACAACCCATGAAATAACGAAGGGATAATGGTGACAATTATTAACAATTGCTATGCGTTCCTCCGATATATAAGCAGGTGCAGTTTGACTGTCAAGTCACTCTGCATCTGAATAAACCTTGGAACGCTAACAACTCTGATGTCATCATTATCCTGAATTCATATATTTTATTTTCAGGTAAGGCATTTCCATGCGTTGTTTCTATGTTCGTTTCATTATATGTTGAAAGTGTTTTGGGATTACTGTTTTAGATTTCGGTAACTTCAAATCATATATATTATTGTAGATGTTCAGCTACAGACGTACGTTCATTTGTGTAGTTATTGTTCAATGTTTTGCAAAATTATCATAATGTTTAGGAAGGGTTGAACCCCGGAAACAGGTGTACACTTACACCTATGTAAAACTATTATGTATATTCAGGCTAATAAGAGCAACGCTTGTATTAAAGGGAGTACGGTAGTGCGTAAATTGCACTACCGTAAAACATCTACGATACGTGTACTAGTTAATGTTTCATTATTTAAGCTGATGTTACCAATAGGAATCTAATGTGTTAGCGTGTGTATGTGTATCGTTGTGTGCCTTTTCTGAACTAAAAAACATGTTCCTGTAAGGTTCTACCTGTACATAAAAATATAATGCCCAACATACGCTGATGTTTTGATAGGTATAGCGTTATATATACAATGTATGAGTACAATATGTTCGTATCAGTTATCTGTAATACTGTACCTTATTAGTTCATGTGTTCATATATATGTATACATATGATGGAACTGAAATATCTTATAAATGTAAAAGGGCCACCTCCTCGTGGTGGGTGCTGGGTCACGCCAAGCGCCCTTCAACCCCCCGTTGTGGACCCAGGGGGATATTAGGTCCACCAACCCGTTTGCCGTGGGTTGCGCCCCTGTGTCGGTGGAGGACAGGATTCTGGTGGTTGAGGGCAATAGGATCCTGGAACCGTGTTCCTGTTGCCCAACACACCACTTCGACCCTTACTTCACCTAGACGGGTGGTAGAATGGGCCCGGTTCTACCAATCGGCTGGTCATGCCAAGCCCTGTGCATGAATTGTATGCATATCATTATTTGATTCTATAATATGTTTTGATTGGTCTTGGCCAACGTATTTACGTTGTCAAAATGAAATCTGCCTAGAGTCTCATGCCAGAAGGCGGTGGCTCATGGGCCAATTTGGTAATGTTGTCCTCCGAAATCTGCATGTTTCCAATTTCTTGTTTTGGGCGAACCAACCAAACATTTACTTTGGTAAACTAACGCAGCTTTTCGCGTCATATTTGCTGAAGTATACCATCCCTGTATCCCCGGTGTTTGCATGTTGGAGATCCGATGCTATTAAACACCGCTCTTTTTGGCACTCCATGGTGGGTGGGGAGCAGGGATGCTGAATCACATTACTTTCACTATGGCTCAACAAAACCCTGGTTCAAATAGATCCAAACGTAGACATGTAGAAACTGATGAAACTGGTCACAATGTAAATGTCTGTCCTGTACTTGATTCATGGGCTCGATTTGTTGTTATCGAGGCAGCAGATAAACAACCAATTAAACTTAATCCATTCGCGATTTCAAAAGCTGTTTCAGGAATTTGTGGCGAAGTGAAGAACGTGACACGTCTTCGAAGTGGATCACTGCTTATTGAGTGTTCAAGGAGACAACAATCTGAGAACTTGTTATCACTTAAAACATTTGCGAACATTGAGGTTGCTGTGTCTATGCACAAAACCTTGAATTCTTGCCGTGGCATTGTTCGCGACAGAGCACGTTGCCTGTCCGATATGTCTGAGGAGGAAATCGCGACTGAACTGAAAAACCAAGGTGTGACCACAGTCAAACGTTTTACTATGAAAACACGAGACGGTGACATAGTTCCGTCTAGTACGTATCTATTCACATTTTCATTGTCGGTCCTGCCGAAATCAATAAAAGCTGGTTATGTGAACATCCGGTGGAGGTGTATGTCCCCAATCCACTCCGATGTTTTAATAATCAGAGATTTGGACATGGCTCCAAATTTTGCAATAGATCTGCTGTGTGTCACCGCTGTGGAGACGGACACGAGAACACTGAATGCTCAGCTGAAATACAGTGTGCAAACTGTAAAGGTCAACATGTAGCTTCCTCAAGGTTATGTCCTGTGTGGCAAAACCAGTCAAAAATACTAAAAGTTAAAACACGAGAAAAACATTTCGTTTCAGGAAGCAAAGAAACTTGTAGAAAATCAGATTCAAATACTGCCTCTAAATAGATCATATTCTGCGGTTGTAGCCCATACCGCTTCTCCTTGCACATCTGTTTCTGTTCAGACTGATCTGTCATGGATCAACTCAAATCAGCCTATCAGGTTAACTTATGTCAGTGATTCCGACACGTTGTCAACTCAAACTGTGAATCATTCTCAAATTGATGACGATGTACCTGATGCCCCCAGTATATCAGTCACAGCTGAACCAGTTGTACCACCTTTGACCAGAAATGAAAAGAAAAAAATAGAAAACAGGCAAACAAAAAACCTTCATCTTCAGAGATAGTCGTCCATAACTCCTTTGAAGCTCTTGATATGGACATAACCCCTCCGTCACAGAGCGGTAGGAATCCGCCCTCACGACGAGACCGTTCACCGATTGAGCCACCATGAATCAATCGTCCAACATAATCAATGGAACTGTAGAGGATTTAGGAATAACTTTAACGATTTACAGATTTTAATACAGGATTTTACACCATCAGCGATGTGTCTACAAAGAAACATATCTTCGAGACACAGATAAATGTGATATCAGAAAATACAATTTGTATAATCACTTTTCTCCTCCAGGTGCAAAAGTCACTGGAGGTTCCTCCATCTTGGTAAGACAGGATGTCCTACATAGTGTTGTTCCGCTTACTACCAACCTTCAGGCTGTTGCAGTTCGGCTAACATTTCACATTGCCTTAACACTCTGCTCTTTGTATATCCCACCCTCCTCGACTTTACAGCAGACAGATCTACAAGCTTTATATGATCAGCTGCCCAAACCTTGTGTCATCATGGGTGATTTAAACGGGCATAACCCTCTATGGGGAAGTACAAATATAAAATAATAAAGGCAAAGTTATTGAAGATTTTGTTTCTGATAATAGTTTGTGTATTTGTAATGATGATTCAAGCACCTATTTACATCCTGCTACAGGAACTTATTCCACTCTTGATTTGTCACTCGCTGATTCAAATATTTACAACGAATTTGAATGGTCCGTTCATGATGACCTTTGTGGAAGTGATCACTTCCCAACTGTCCTACAAACTATAAAACCGGATGACGAACCATCTTTATCACGATGGAATTTTACGAAGGCAAATTGGTCTTTGTATGAAACATTGTGTATGGATAAATTAATACCGGACAATTTTAATAATGTATCAGATCCTATAGAGTTGTTTTCAGCTCTGTTGAATGAAATTGCTGACCAGTCAATTCCTAAGTCCTCTGCAACTCCTCATATTCGTAAGCCATGGTTTAACAATGACTGTAAACAAGCAAGGAAGTGTAGGAAGAAAGCAGAAAAGTATTTCCGCAGACATCCTACAGTTCATAACTTCAATAATGTTAAAATTACAAATGCCAAGGCGCGACGTGCTTATAAACAAAACAAGCGCCAGTCTTGGAGGAAATATGTCTCCAACATTAATTCGCGCACACCCATGTCCAAGGTATGGAATATGGTCCAGAGAATAAAAGGCAAAGGTTCCAAGTCTTCTGTTAAACATCTTAAAGACGGTGATAAATTGATAACTGGTAAGTGTGATATTGCTAATAAAATTGGTGAAACTCTTTCCAGAAATTCTTCATCATCAAATTATATCCCTGACTTTCAGAAATATAAAAATCGCCAAGAAAAACAACAAATTAATTTTGATTCTAATAACGGTGAAGATTATAATGAAGTATTTTCATTACATGAACTACATACCGCTCTCGAGCAAGCTCATGATACTGCTGCTGGTGATGACAACATTCATTACCAGTTACTAAAGCATCTGCCTCAATCATGTCTTTTGACACTTTTAGAAATATTTGACCATATTTGGACTTCAGGGAATTTTCCTCCTTCCTGGCACAATGCCATTGTAATCCCCATACCAAAGCCTGGCAGGGATCACACAGACCCCTCAAATTATCGCCCTATATCGTTAACCAGTTGCGTTTGTAAAACCATGGAACGCATTGTGAACAATAGATTAGTTTGGTATTTGGAAACCAACAATCTAATTACAGATATTCAATGTGGTTTCAGGAAAAACCGAAGTACTATTGACCATTTAGTACGATTAGAATCCTATGTTAAGAATGCCATTGTTAATAAGCAACACGTAGTATCAATTTTCTTTGATCTGGAGAAAGCTTATGATACTACTTGGAAGTACGGCATTTTGAAGGATTTACATGATTTCGGTTTGAGAGGTCGTTTACCTCGTTTTATCTCACACTTTTTAACAAACAGGCAATTTCAAGTCCGAGTGGGTTCAACCCTGTCTGACCATTACCATCAGGATCAGGGTGTCCCACAAGGCAGTATTTTGTCTGTAACGTTATTTAGTATTAAAATAAACAGCCTGTCAAGGGTTTTAAATGATTCAATTGATGGATCACTTTTCGTGGATGATTTTAATGTTTCTTGTCGTGGTAAAAATATGCATACAATAGAGAGGCAACTACAACTATGTCTCAATAAAATTCATAAATGGTCAATTGAAAACGGTTTTAAATTTTCTAAATCCAAAACTAATTGTATACATTTTTGTAGAAAATATAAACCGCATAAAGACCCGGAACTGTTTCTCAATGGCACTCCCATCAAAGTTGTAAAGGAGGCCAAGTTCTTGGGTTTAATTTTGACTCTCATTTAACGTTTCTGCCGCATATTAAATCTCTTAAAACTAAATGCCTGAAGGCACTTGACTTGTTGAAAGTTGTTTCAAATTCTAAGTGGGGAGGGATCAAGCCACTCTCTCCTACACCTATATCGATCATTGGTCCGCTCGAAACTTGATTATGGCTCCATCGTATATGGTGGAGCCTGCAA